TTACGTACTACTACGTATTATTAGTAAGTAGTAGTACTATTATTATACTATACTACTATATATATATATATATATATATATATATATATATATATAGAGAGAGAGAGAGAGAGGAGAGGGGGAGGGGGGGGGACGTGAACTGGGCAGACGTATGATGACAATGTGAACACGAGAGCCCAAACTAGACTCCATGTGGGTGATAATAGGTCCAAAATAGTACTGCAGACAATGAACCACAAAGATCAGATAACTGCTAACATGTTTCAGTCCAGTCAATGAAGAAATCCATCCAAACTTCTCAAAGATGCAGATGCTGATACATTTCCGGTAAGGTTTGTCGTCGTTATCAATTTCCATGTAAGGATGACTTTTCTCTGTCACAACTAATACTACTCTACCACCCAGATCTACCTCCCTCACGCCCTTAAATATTCAAGTATTAAAACTTCAAAGTGGAGAAAATCCACACATGCACACGCATTCAATGCTCCAGTATTCCACTGGCTTAGTGAAAGAGAAACTAATAGTATGTTTTCAGGATAGAAATTAAGATGGCAAATCGACTCCAAAATAGATTACCTAGAGACGACACCGAGTATCATGTCTAATACATGTTGAATGTGTGTATTACTTTGGTCTAAAAATCCAATACAACATAACTAGTGCATATGATTATTTTATAATAAAATAATACTTTTTAATACATATATGTAGGAAACAGGAAACAGTTTATACAAGGTATCAACCTTATACCATAGAAGTAATGTGCACCTAAAAGTCCACCCTATAAGGATTTTCCGGTGTTCCTATAGTTGATCATCTTGACCTCAAGATCTATGAATATAAAAAAAAAAAAGGATTTCAAGGCCTAAAAGTAGTGCAACTTGTAACACATTATCCAGACCGTCCAATTTTGAATTTCATAGTTGGGGATGAAAGTAGATTTTTTGGCAATCGTAATGGTTTCTGGCACCGGAACTGCATCTTTTAGTAAGAATTAGAGGTGTGCCTCACTTTGATTATTTAAGGTTGACATCTTATAAAAAATGGAACTATATATATATATATATATATATATAAATCATATGTATTACACTTAAATGTGGTTAGCACATCATTAGACCCTATAAACTTAAACTTAGCACAAGACATCATGGGTTGGGTTCAAACCCAACCTTGTGCTCCATATGCTTTGTTGTCCCATGTAGTATTGACACATGTCCAACTGTCACATGATAGGCAATGCAGCAACAAAAACGACATGACTTTGAATGGATTGATAGTATCGTGCAAATGGATGGGGTTGGTAGCATTCTGTATAGTTATTTCCCTTAGTTGGGTAGTGGTCATTTGCTGTGTCAGGTTTCTTTGTGGGTCATGTAATGGTGACCCTCCCTAATTTTGTTTGAGGTGCTGTACAATGTTGCATCAATAAAAACATGGAGCATCATAATCAGACACGGCAGCTAAAAAAGAAAATTACCAACATAGAGCTGTGCCCATAGGATAAGACACTTGTAATAAATATATTCAAATGTAAAAATTTATTGTACAATTACTTTTGGTATTTTTATGAAATTATTTAATGGAATGAGGTTTGTATAAGGTGTCAACCCTATACTATTGAAGTAAGGTGTGCCTCAAAACTATGCCGAAAATGCAGTTTTGATGCCGCAATGCCTTGCGATAAGATGAAAATCTATTGTGGCCCCCAGTTATGAAATTTAAAGTTCCAGAAATTGTGATGATCATGCACATTTACAAACACTTGAAAATGGACGGTCCAGATAATGTATTAAAAGATGAACAATTTTTAGGATTAGAAATCATCTTTTTTGTCATGTCTATGGATCTCGAGGTTATTGATTTGAGGGTTTTCCAACATAGGAACAACCTTCACTAATGGCTTTTTTAGGTGGACCTCACCCGTACAGTATAAGATTGAGACCTTATATAAACTTTTTCCTTATTTAATATGTAAAACAAATTTTATGAACTTATTCTATATACTACTAATTATGTACTTTCCATAGATACACACACATACACACAATTTATTAAGATGTACAATGGAGGTAAAACACAAGAATATACAACAACTAAATTTTAAAACAAATACATACACCCAGTTGCTTATAAAACATATATAATATTAAAAACTTAAATTTATTAAGTTATATGCATCATCTACAATTCCTTTAGTGCCAAAAGTATCAAATTACTCGATCACACATCAGACACAGACCAATTGATGATTTTTTTTTTTTCTTGATAAGTCGGACACATCGACTTTTTCCTCCAAAGGCATTCTCTTCCTCTAAAATGGCAATTTTCCAGGCAATTTGGAAGGAGTGAGCATTAAAACAGTTAGGGTAATAAGGGAATGGGAGTGTTTTTTTTTGTTTTGTTGGGTGGGGGGGGGTGAGTGTTGTGGGGCAAGGACTCGATTAAATTCCCAAGAAATGTAGTTGCACATTTCATGGGAACCGATGGGACTTTAGAGAGCAAAGGTCAGGGACTTGATTCAAGAATTGAAATTTTGTGATAAGAAGCCTACGAGCGTTTAATACACCAGAAACAGAAAGCTCCAGAGATTAAAGCAGGGTGGAGTAGAAAAGCCCTCCAACAAAAAGTTTGAAGCTTAACGTTTGAGGGAAGATCTTCAGATAACCCAAGATGTGTTAATGCTAAGGCTACAACTCTATTAACCATGCTAAAGATATTCAATGCCTCATTCTTGAGCTCAAAGACATGATGCCTAACTTTCGATATGTATATGTCTTCACTCGCTTGGCAAAATCTACTATGCTCGCTACTCAAAAAATTGATAACGGAGCTACAAATCTCCAACATCCCTTCATGAATCCACCTACTAAAAGCTATACTTACATACTCTAGGGGTGTGAAGGGCTCTCTTCAAGATGAACCTGTTTGGTACCCAAACATATTCTTTCAAGTGGATGAGATGGTCTGCTAGACTCTTTCCAATGACATATAAAGGTCTAAGATTGATGCTGGCGAGCAGGGTGTCTAGCATAGTTATCAGATGCAGTGGCTTAACACATAATGCTGCCGCATTAAAGAGGGGTGGCTGTGGCCCTATGTAGACCAGCTAGATCTGCCCGCATAGCAAACCCACAGTATATGCACGCACATCACAAAGTGCCACACCACATAGATGTGCCAGCATAGGAGGCAGCATATGAGGGAGTAATTCCTTCCCCACATCCCTCCAAAAGTCCCTTAGAACCAATGTTGTTGAATCTAAGGAGATTAAATTCAAAAATGGAAAATTGATTTATCTTTTTTTGTTTTTTTTTCTCTTTTCTTTTCGAAGTATTCAACAAACTCTATGGATTTTTTGGGTGAAACTTCAAGTTGATTTCGTGTTATATTTCGAAGGATTTCAGGTGAAGTTTCAAGGGGAAAGGAGATTAAAACTAGAAATCAAAGTTTCTATTGGCCCTTGGATGTTACCCTAGAAATCTAGAACCTAAAAATTTTAAAAGGAGATTGAACCTACAAAATCTAGAAATCTTAGGAACCTAGGCAGGGAGATTAAACCTAGAAACCAAAACGTGGAATTTGAATTGAGCAATCTCTTTTATGTTTAATATCATCAACTTTTTGCCTTTGGAAGTTAGGCACTTGTGAAATACTTTAGACTCTTCGGTATTAGGCATTCCCAAGAAAAGTAGTTGCACATTTCATGGGAACCGATGGGACTTTAGAGAGCAAAGATCAGGGACTTGATTCAAGAATTGAAATTTTGTGATAAGAAGCCTACAAGCGTTTAATACACCAGAAACAGAAAGCTCCAAAGATTAAAGCAGGGTGGAGTAGAAAAGCCCTCCAACAAAAAGTTTGAAGCTTAACGTTTGAGGGAAGATCTTCAGATAACCCAAGATGTGTTATGAATGGATGAGCTTGGTGAAGTCATGAAGGCTTTTTGCTATATGCTAAAATGTACTCAGTTGGTTGATGCTAATTTATTATCTAACTGCTTAGTTGGTGTAATACACGCGCCTTTTGTTTCCTTAATTAAATGAATGGGTTGAATCAATTTATTTTACATGTTGATCGTATTAGAGAATAGAGACGGAAATGGTCTTCTGTTATTCTCTATCAGCTTATCAGATAGCACATATGATAGAGAAAAAAACTATACTAAAATGCCTATACTGCATAAATCCCATATTCTTTGTATTTTCATATTTTTTTTAAATTTATGGACAGCATTGTAAGTGATCCTCCTACATTGTAGCTCAACAAGGCACATAACACATTGAACCCCATAGCATATCAAGAGCGAATCCTGATAAATTTGATCTCCAAGTACTATGAGCTTCTTAGAAGTTACTAAGGGGCTTCTCAAATGGCATAGAGGAAGACATTAGAAGTCTTTATGGAAGTCATTAGGGTGAGTGTGCTGCATAAATACAGGGCTAGAATCTAACATTATGTTCGCGATGATACGGGAAAGGATAGAAAATCTAAAGAGTTCAAAAAGACCAATTTTCATGGGTATAAGCTAGATAGGACTTTAAAGAGTTTAGAGAGTTGAAGAATGGAGGAAAAGAGTAGTGAACCCAATGGGGACCATGGTGGCTACAAAAAGCCTAGAAAGGAGGGTGTTAAAGCTGAGTTTTGATGGTAAATGGAGTACGGTCTGGTTAAAGATGAGTCGGCTAAAGTTAAAACAGCATATATTGTTTCAAAAGGGCAGAAAATTCTAGAGATAATGAGGTCGACCCATTGTTATCTAGCTTTTTGGTATATGGACACTACTTAACATAATAACATCCTCTAGCAAGCCGACTTTCAGGCCATGGAGGATTAAAGACATTATAGGGTAATTATACAATCAGTGAAAAATCCTTCAGCAACAAGAAGGCATTGAAATGGTTTCACATGTTGCAACAATAGGCATTGAAATGGCTTCTCTGTACTCATGAATAGTTAATAGATGCATGATCTTTTACTTCAATAAGACAGACTCCAGTAGATCCCACGAATTGAGATTTGAGGATTAATATAGAGTGGGGTCACACATAAGAGCTCATTCTCTTACATTTTCCTTTTTGATTGGAGACAGACAAAAGATCATTATCCATGAACAATAAGTGCATGACCATGGACTAGAGAGTGGTCACTCGGATGCGATAGAACATGCAAAACATTAAACCATTCAAAACTTCTTTTTTCGGATGCGATAGAACATGCAAAACATTAAACCATTCAAAAATTCTATTTTCTTTCTTTCTTTCCCCTCCCTCCCTCCCTCCCTCCCTCCCTTGTTTTTTTTGGGGGCAAAACAAGCACTTGAGGACAAAGGAAAGGTGTCATGGACAGCTTGAGAGAAACCAACTCTCAGATCACAAAAGACTTCTTTTGATTGTATAATCATTTTTGGGGCAAAACAAGCACTTGAGGACAAAGGAAAGGTGTCATGGACAGCTTGAGAGAAACCAACTCTCAGATTACAAAAGACTTCTTTTGATTGTATAATCACAAAGACATAACTATGACTCAACTGAAGGCTAGCAGTGGTCCCTGCTTGGTACCTTCCTAAGGGAAGAAATGTGATTCAATAAGCCATATGCAGTGGCCTGGATTGGGGTCAGATAGGGGACAGGAGGTGGAGGTGTTGAAACCAATCTGACTCCATTTTGTACAGCTGAACTAACAGACTACATACTTTGCCTAAGCCCATGTTTCACTAGTATATTTTGTAGTCCATAAAACTGGCCCTTTATCACTGAAAGGGCTTCACAGCAGACAGCTTAGCTACCCAAAAATAAATAACATCAGCAGGATGATAAGTGGCCAAGGACTTTTCAAATCTATCTTTCGCGAATCAATCATTGCAAGCATTTGGAGAGTACAAGAACTATGCCAAAACCTAGTGGTATCCATAATTTGAATGATGGAATTGCTAAGCTTTTGGTGTCTCCAGCTCGTCAAGCATGCAGCAATTACCAAAGTTCTTCACTTGCAATGTTAAATGCATATCAAATATGGTCAAGGGGATCTACACTAAAAATCACATATAGATGCAATGGCCATAAACTATATTGAACACACATAACAAGCATCTACCATGTACCCATGCATAAAAAGTCAATACATTTTCACATTGTAGTAATGAAAATACTTTAAAGAACATATATGCCTAAATAACTGTAATAAAAAACTTAAAAATGGAAACTAAAACATGAAAATACACATTGTAGTAATGAAAATACTCTAAAGAACATATATGCCTAAATTACTGTGATAAAAACTTAAAACGGAAACTAAAACAGGAATGATAGACCTAATGTATAAAACAAAATAACAATAAATGATAATGCAACAACAACAAGACAACAACCAAAAGAAAGCACCTCTCAGAATATGATATCCTCGTCTTTTTCTGCCCCCACAGCCAGTATATTGTGTGCTGAATTAAATGAGATCCCTTTCATTAACGCCACCTTTTCAACTGCCTGCTCCTCTGCAAACGCCTTACCTGCTACCATCTGTCTCTCTATCTCTCTCTTCTTATACCCTTGTATCTTCTTCAACCTAAAGAAATCCTCTCTCTCTAACTCATCCAACTCTCCTTTTATATAACTTATAGTGTTCTCGAGCCTCGGCTTCACAACATTCTCCAAAGCATTAACCCTCCGGTTCGTGGTCTTAATGGCTTCATCAAGAGTCAAAAAAGAAGTTTGAAGAGAAGCTAGCTCGACTAAAACTTCAATGGCCTTAATATGAGCTGCTCTACAAGCCTGAACTTGTTGTCCACCTCTTGCTAAACCAGTGAGATCAGCTTTGGGTTCACCATCAGTGAAATGCTCAAAGCGAGGGAGCTTCACACCTGCAACATTGTCTTGCTTCGACCTAACTTTTACAGAAGCATTCCTCACATTTTCGAGGACTACGTGCTTTATGTTATCGCCCGCTACATATTTAGCTTGGGTCAGGGAAAAAGAGGACTCTTTCATGATCTCACCCATGGATTCCTTTGTGGAAACGATCTTTTTCAGTATCTGGCGAAACTGAACAGTTAGGGCATCGCTCTTCTTCTTTAGAAGGGCATGGCCTCGAGTAGCTCCAACCAGTCGAGCTTTCACGACACCGAGCGTGGTGACTGTAGGCACAACATTCAGGCGCTGGCTCTGGCCTGACATATTCTAGGAATTTGGGGTTCACTGGTTTTTTTGTTGGAGATTGAAGGTTTTCTAGGATTTTGGACTGGACAAGCTTGTATCCTCTGATTTTTTATGGAGACAAGGATGTTTTAAAGTCTTTGGGCTGGATGAGCTGGAGAGATCTGGTCTATTCGAAACTGCAAAGATTTTTCTAGGGTTTCACTGCAAACGTTTGAATTATTGGTTGTTCTCAAAGCTTTGAAGGATTAGTTGAAGAAAAATCCTGTCAGTTTAAGGGATCCTCGATGGTATTAAGCACAAATTTGCACAAGATTTCTCAATCTTCTCAACACAAAAATCAGAACCTACAGAAGAAGAAAAAACCCTAAGAAATCTGCAGAATTTTCGAATTATTTACCTTCCAAATATTATAACCCTCAGCTTCTCAATAATCTTTGACAAACTGGTTCCTTATAATCAGAGACCCGGACGATTTTCTGAAAATGTTGAACAATTCTACCTCGAAACCCCTGTAAAAGACTGATTATACCGATCTGTGGAACTTCGATCTAAATGATGCGAAAGTGCTAGTGATTCTAGGGCACTCCACAATAACTGTAACTGGTAGTACTGGAAAATAACGGGATCTCTCTTTCTCTCTCTAAAACTCCCCTCGCTCTAAATCTCTGCAAATCTTCCGACCATTCGTACACTGCAAATCGCAGAATAGAGAGAGAGGGAGAGAGAAAGGGGACAGCGTTGTTGTGGAGCACATATGCCTTAGCAGCAGTGAATTGTTTTGAACCTTGTCGAGGTCTGTTGTGATCCATATGACCATAAACTTTACATGGTCACAGAAATCAGTTACTGTAGATCACTGATGGACGGTGATGAGAACAATGAACAATGGGACCCACTACATGGGTCAAGGATAATGGGACCCATAATTTGGGTCACGGATACTTGATCTATGATGGCGATGACAGCGAACTCATTTGAGCTCGTGATTCGTAGGGGTTTAGGGAAATTATCGTTAATATATTTTAAATTTAATAAAATTGATAAAAAAAAACCACAAACTTCCAAAATTTCACCCACATTTTTTTTTTTCAATTTTTACAATTTTTTGAAAAAAATGTCTTTTTACGGTAGTTTTTCTACCGTAATGGCAGGATAGACTTAAACTTCTTTACGGCCATAAAAAGACCATAATGGTCCAAAATTACCACAATCAAATTAGAGTCCACCGCAAAAAGTTTATCGGAGGAGGTGGTTTTGATGTCCAAATATCTTGAAATTAATCATCACAACATCAAGATGCATGGATATGAGAAATAAATTTCAAGTTTTAAAAATAATGCATCTTATAATCGTATTTTTGGACCGTCAATTTTCAGGATTTACAAGTTTTTCATAGAACTGCTCGATCTATACTATTTTTTAAGCTTTAGATTTTATAATTAAAGATTAAAATATATTTTAAGGCTATTTCAAAGACTTTCAATATTAAAACCGATACTATTTGAAGGTAAGCTTTACTTTGGTTTTTTAGAGCCTCAACTCTATACAAACTGCATCCTTTTAAAAAATATATAAAGGGGAACCGCCCAAAAAAAGCTAAAACTTCTAGGAAGTTTTCGGTGAGATTATTAAACTTCGAGGATATTTGGCATCAGAATAATATCTTCTAGTGAAATTTTTGAGGTGAGCTTTAATTTGATTGTTTTGAGCCTCGCACTTATTATAAACTTTTTCCCTTAACTAATAGGATGGGTTGGTGTGAGTAAGCCTACTCATATGTACCAATGCGCCCCCACTAAAATTTATTTTAAAATGAATTTTTTATCTAATTTTTTGTAGATTCATCACCTAAGCCAATATGATCATGAATATGAAAAATAGGCTTTTAAATTTTTAAAAATAATTTTAGTATTTTTTAATACACCAATCTTATTTATGGATGCCCATCCTAAGGATGGACATTTGTAAGTGAGCCAGCTCTTGCGCATGTTAACTCATGAAACACTTTTCTTAACTAATATTGTATAAATTTAAAAATCATTTAAACTTTATATACTTTTTAAATATTTTGACATATTTCGTCATACTATTAAGCTTTCTAATTTGCTAAACAAACTTATCTTAATTTTTTTTTTTTGAAGGTTAACTTCACAAATTAATTTTTTTTTTTGAAGGTTAACTTCACAAATTAGCTATACAGTGAAATGCTTGATAGACTTGTAGAAAAAAATGGAGAGTATAAAAACTTATCACAACAAAAGTGTGTTACTGCAAAGCCAGTCATATTAAAATTACCTGATTCGAATTAAGAGTTATATACATACAAAAGGTTTAACAAGTTCATATGCGCTATACACTTAAATTTAAAATTACTGTTTAAAAGATCGGCCGATTTTTAAAAAATGGGCCGACTAACTGAGGATCAATCACCAACCGATCCCAATCTGACCTGATTCCAATAGTCATTGATGCAGGAATTTTTTTTCAACGCACTAATTGGACTAATCGGTCGATTAGTGCACTAATCGATGATTTGTTCTAAAAGCCAATAAGTGCACTATCATAGTGTAGAGTTAGCAAAGCTATCTATATAACATTTTTCCTATCCTTCTATAGACATGGTTTCTATGTTGCCATCTCGCATATTGTAGAAATACGGGCTTGGCAATAAATATATTTTTAAATATAATTTGATCTTAATTTTTTATGGAAATCATGAATATAAAAATAAATAAATTTGAAAACTAGAAATAATAATTATATTAAGAAATTATTTGAACCGTTAGTCACACTTGTTTTTAGATGGACTAGAAATAATAATTATATTAAAAAAACATTTGGACGGGTAGTTACACTTCTTTTTAGATGGACTAGAAATAACAATTATATTAAAAAAACATTTGGACAGTTAGTTACACTTGTTTTTAGATGGACTACCTATTTGCATCCATTTTTAAGATGGATGTTTTATAGATCTGAACCGCATATTGTCAAAACAGTTTTCTTTCTTCTATTTCTTTATTTTAAATTTATAAATTATTACAAATTTCTTATTTACTAACTACAGGGTTTGCCACTTTGGGTGAGTAGACTCAGACCCACCAGAGTTGATCAAGCCCAACAGGGTGCCACGCCTATAGGTCCCTCAATTAGGGGATATAAAATTTAGGGACAATACCTTTTTATTCTCTATTTTTAACTTCTATATATGTCATGAGATTCAAAAATTAAAAATATTCCTTATAAACAAAAGGTGTTATGTCTTTTTTATCTTTCCAACTTGTGAATCTCTCCTACCATAAATTTTTTACTTAAAGAAACATTAAAAATGAGACCCTGAAATTTAATCCCACGTTGCTTTTTCTTCTCTCTCTAAAAATTATCTCAGTTCAGAGCTTCCCTACTTGTTTGTTGAGATTGAATGGAGTAGAGGATGAGCATAGAACAGTTTCTCTCTCATCTCTCTTTTGTGTTTCCATTTTTGGGCTTGATGTTTCTCTCACTAAATTCGATAGCAATGCCTGTCTTGATGGAAGAAAACTTGGGTTTTTTGGTAAAGTGATTTTTGGTAGAGAGAGAGCTGGTTATTGCCGAAGTAGCTCTGTTTCTTGGCCTCAAAGCTTCTGGTTTTTCTCACTAGTTGCAAGTTTTGATGCTACAGCATCTTGAAAACCAAGTTTTGCTCCACAAAAACTGCCATTTTTGGATACTAGAGATGGACAATTGAGGGTCTGGTAATCACCAGGAGGACTCAGCCGAAGCTCTGTCTCTCTGATTTTAGGCCCAAGCCTCCCCTCCTCCAGAGCCCTAAAACTTTCTCTCTCTTCATTTTCAACTCCATTTCTCTGAGAGCTTTTGCCATTTTCTAGTATCATTTGAAAAAATGGCGGTGCACTTTTATTAGGATTCATTTCTCCTTCTTCGCTCATGTTGGGGGTTGGTAATTTGCCTTAAAAGGAAAGAATCGAGAGGCAAGGTCAAGAAACCACCATTAACAGCTGGAAGAACAAGTGGGTCACCGGAAAATTCACTGATGGCAGTGAATATCGACCGAAAATGCACTTGGGTGATTCAATCTTCGCATGCTTTTTTCTTTTTCCTTTTCTAATGGTTTTGATTGATCTTTATTATCTGTTTCGTTTTATCTGTTCTTTTTTATGGTTTGAGAATTTTAGGTTTATATTAATTTTTCTACCTGGTTTTAATGCTATATTTTAGGGTTTGAAGTTTGTTGAATGGGGTATGAGGCGACATTGCACGAGTTTTAGCCTCTGGCGAGGCAGAGCTCCATCTTCAATCTTGCCCTAGAGGAGTTGTAGAGCCATGGTGGTGACCTCTCAAACCACCATGAATATTGACGAGTTCTTTAAGGGTGCTTACCCTTCTTGCGATGGAGCCCCTGGTTCAAACTCAGGAGTGGCTGTGACTCTAGAGGACTTCGTCCAAAGAACTGGCCTGGTCGATGAAAACCTCAATGCACCAGCCATGAATCCTGCAACTAATACATTGCCATTGATGGGGTTTAACCAGGCCCAAGCTCTACATGGACAATGACTCCATGGCCAACCAGCTGAGTTTTTGAGAAAGAGAGGAAAAGTAGAGTGGGATTAAGTTTTAGGAAAAATATGCCACATAATTTTTAGAGAGAGGAAAGAGAGACGATGCCGAGAAGGGAATTTATCTGCAATTTTGGGTTTTCGAGGGGGAGATAGAGTTTTGTAAATTGTTATTTTAACATTTTTTTTTAGTAAAATAACTCTGGTCAAAAGGGTATAGAGGTTCGTAAGATAAAAAAAATGGAGGTTTTTTATTTTGTAAATAATATTTTTAATTTTTGGATCACACAAGATATTGAAGTTAAAAATAAGGGATAATGAGATATTTTTTTTAAAATTTATTCTTTGTTCATCTAATTTGATCTTCAATCTAGTGCCTATACCACCAACCCCCGAGGGGCACATAGACATACACATAGATGCATATATGAGAGAGAGACAGAAATTTATCAAAATTATCACAAAGAGACGAAGAATTTTATATTTTACTTAAATTTTTAATTGAATTAAAAAATACACAAAAAACAAACATGGTCATGGGTTGAAATATTATAATATTATGTTATATTATATATTCTATATTTATATTTATTTTATGAGTAATGATCCTAGGAGATCTTCTCATACCTATGTGTGTAGGACTCCAAAGGATCATAATTAAATTTGGCACATATTTCTAAAAAAGTCACGTCCCACACTCATGTGATAATTTTTTTAGATATATGTACTAAATTTACTGATCATTTTTTGGGGTTCTACATACATGGATGAAAAAGGGTCTCATAGGATCATTACTCTTACTTTATTAATGTAATTTATATTATATAGTATATATTGATTACATATTATGCATAAGATATATTTATTTTATATTGATCATTGAAAAAGTATTGCTTCAGGTGCCTAATCATTTTTTTGAAACCCAACTATGCTTATAATATTTATTTTTTTGCTTTTTTTATGTGACAATATAAAAAAACAATACATGTAAATTTTAAACATTTTTTACAATTTTTTTGGGATATTTTGAGTTTTTTGATTTTTTTTAATTAAAATTTCATTTTTCAGGTAAAATCCGAGCACTAATTGCCCGATCTAGTCGGAATCTGTCGTACTAATAGGATCGGGCCAAGACCGACAAGTTGGCCTGATCTGTTGTTTTGAACACTAATTTAAACTATATGTTAATGGGATTACGATTTGCATCACATTTTACTAAAGTAAAA